GTTACAAAGCATTAGTGACATACAGTACAGCATTTGAAATGGCTCTCTGTGCCTTGGAACAGAATATTATCTTACTGGCTTTGAGAGGATCCCTGCAGTGAAGGAAAATGGTTAATTCCAGTGAGGGTTCATAAATAAGATCGTACCTAGGCAAGACCTACTTGTAGGTAGGTCCCTTTTCAGGCCACAAAGGCCCATGGGGAATGGGGGGCAGGAGCCACCATTTTTCTCAACCATTCGACACTGGAGGTGGAGGTGATGTGGTCAACATCACACTCTGGCCGGCCTATTACCCCCCAGAAGGATTAACCCCCAGTACTCACTTGGAAAGCAGGCTGAGTGGACCTGGGAGCCATCTGGAAGGAATTAGAGCTACATCGCTTGCCCCTACCTGGGATCGAACCTGGGACCTTCCGGTCAGGAGCCAGAACCCATTGCCGTCTGAGCCGTACCACGGCTCCCCAGTAAGATGGGTATTGGCTATTTGCTCATGAAGTAGTTTAACCAGGTCTTTGCTTTAAGACTGACAAAAGATGCCAGGCCACTCAACCCCTTAAAGATTTTGGATGTTAACGCACATCCAGTACATCAATCCACATGATCGGAAAGTCACTCATTCCTGGAAAGAGTCACAGCAGCAGGAAGAGTGATAGGGCTCAGTCTGGAACTGCTGTATACTTTGAATAGGATTTCAGTCATATACATGACACACACATGCACAGACCACTCAGGGATATCGATTATCCTAGTTATCTCGTTTTTAGGAGGTGTGAGGAATTCACAGCACCCAGAGAATGCCAACATGGACAAGGGCGAAGATGCGCACTACACACAGAAGGTCGCAGAATCAAACCCAGGCCTAAAGAGAAGCAAGCAAACATGATAAAAATAGCGATCTTTTCAAAGCTCTAACTAATTTGGATCAAATCTTTTCGTTGTTTGCATTGCACCTCCAGAATTGGCACATCTTGGCCTTTGAATTTGAATTATTACCTGGGGTGTAGCTGGCAAAAGAGACACTTGGCATTGTCAAAGAAAGCATTTAGAGTTACTTAAATATGAGGACACATATTATTTTATTCGTATTAGATGGGTAAAGTGTATACAGGGATTTGTACTCCAACGTAACATTTAGGTTGTTTCATGTGAGTGTAGGGGATTTTTAATCTGAAGAAAAAAAGCAAAAGTATTGCAATAGACAGTGCGGGTGTTTATGAGTACATGTTCTCAGGAGATAGACCCATGCTGAATTTTTGCAGTAAAACCGTAACCTAAATGATTCACGAGCAAGACAACATATGCCACGCTTTTTTATTATTTGTTTGGATATTATATAAGGGGGAGGATTAAACCCTGGGTCATGAGGAAACAGGGAATTCTGACATGCTGAAAATGAGGCATGACTCATGAACCAAAATCTCTCCGCAAACTAGTAAACTACTGCTTCAAACTTGAAAACTGAAACTCCTTTGCCACTGATCTTGAATAAAAGTGTTCTAAAAGTTGACGAAATTTTACCTCCCCTTTCGAATGCCAAAGCAAAAACAAATGCATTTAGTGTAAAAATGTAGTTGTTTTACCACTTTGGTTAATGTTTTTTTTTTTCAAAAGCAAGTTTACATCTTAAAAAAAAACAGTTAAATGCAAAGGCGTTAAATGCCCAAACTTTGAAAATCGTTTTCTTTTTTGTCTGTTTTGTAAGTCCATGTCCGATTGGTTTGTAAAGTCGGAAAATCAGGAATACATTTTTAAAAGGCACAAAACATTTGGAAAAAATGGTCTCAGTACTGCAAAACTTATCAAACTAAAAATAATATGAATTCGATCACCATCATTTCTGACAGCATAAAGAATTAGTTGCAAACTTTAAAATACTTCAGTTATTGGCCTGTTCACTGTTGGTCCAGGTTCTTAATTTTGGAGCCACACCATGATGTGACAATTAGTATAAAATACGGCTTACTCGAAAGCAAAACTAGATATTCTCGGGTTTAATTCTAAAGTTTCAGAAACAAAAACTGAAACAACAGAATTACTAAGAAAAAAAGTTTCACAAAAATTAACTGTACTGTTGTGACTGGAACAGTAACTAAGACTATATTGTGTTTTTGTTATTAAGCTCAACAAAAACAATTCCTCCTCTTCCACGGACCAAGACTGACTCAGCAATTCTCCCACTGCCCTAGACATTGACTCAGCAGTTCTTCCACTGACCAAGACATTGACTCAACAGTTCTTCCACTGACCAAGACATTGACTCAGCAGTTCTTCCACTGACCAAGACATTGGCTCAGCAGTTCTTCCACTAAGCTAGACATTGACTCAGCAGTTATAGCATTGACATACCACTGTTTTGCAGGAGTTAAGAATTTCCATTTGACTATCAAGCTGTTTGTTGATCTGTAATTGATTGTAATTGGAGCACAATAGTGATGTTCATGTTCAGTTCACACTGGGGAAACAGACTAGATCCACTGTACTTCTGTGTGAAACAGTGCATCTGGTTCTGCCATTTCTGAAATTAGCTAAAAAAGCTGCTAACAGGATCCAGCTCACTAGTTTTTTTCCAAACTCCCACAACCTCTTGTTGACACAAGTAACTACTAATTTTGATCTGAAAGGGAACTTTAACATTTAATATTTGCAATGAAACCTCAGACCCTGGAAGTTTCAGGTCAACATACAGTATCTCAGAAATTCAGTCCTGCCAAGCAGTGATTCAGTTCGGCATGAAAATGCACTTAATCCATTTTTAAATAATTGGTTTAATCACAGATAGGATTTTATAGTCAGTCTCGTGGTATAACATAATTCCTATTCCACTAACCATGTTAGACTGTGAAATTCCCCTTTAAAATGTTTAGCTTTTTATAATTTAGATTCACCAATTAATTTCTAGCATGTACTTACCCTGATCAGAAATTGGCTGTTGTGTGCTTTAACATCAACTGCTGTACAGAGAAATGAAGATTGACTAACAGACTCCTCCAACACACACACACACACTGTAAGATGCAGATCAATGTCCAAGATATTCAGCACTGACTGGAAAAGAGACCCATAAATCACTGACCTTAACACAATCCTGCAGGTGCCCAGGAAGTTGTAGGAGTTATTTTTCAGCAGCAGTTGAGAAAGCCTTTGGTAACTAATCCAAAATCACCCTCTGGCAACACACGAGACTGCTACTTGAGGAACCTCGCTCAGAGTCAGGTTGTGATTCATTTCCAGGTCGTGATCTGGATAACTCAAGCGAAGTACATTTCACTGAGCGCTTCTTTGACTAATCCACAAATCCAAAGGCTGACTGTGCTGGATTCCCTTTCAGGGAAGAGTGCTTTCTTTCCTTTAAGATATGCACAGAAAGAGTAAAGAAACTGAATTCCGTTAGTCTTGATCACTCAAGACTGCGAGTGGACCAGATAGACATTAACAAATCCCAAAAGGTGCTGACAAATTCACCCTCATTGACTTCTTCAGGCACCTCATCTGGAAATTGACCCAAAAGGGCTTTTTAAGACTGAGGACAAACATCTCTTTAACCAAAGGGATGTGGAAGCTGGAACAAGATTCCTGGATCCCTGGGTTGCACAAGGTCCTTGGCTCAATCAATAACCAAATAAACAGGCGGTGCTGAATAACCTTTTCTTATCAGCAAGGTTTGCTCCTCGTTCCTATACTCTTTATTGAAGGATGCTGGGACAGGGGTCTGAAACCAAACTTACCAATCACTGTCAATCACGTGGCTCAGTGGTTAGCACAGCTGCCTCGCAGTGCTATGGCTCTGGACCTGGGGCGCTGTCTGCGTGGAGTTGGTATTGTTCACCCCGTGTTCACGTAGTTTCCTCCCATGGTCCAAAATGTACGAGTAGGTTAACTAGCCTGTGGAAACAAATTTGCACAGGTGCGAGTATATGTTTGCCCTGCGATGGACTGGTGTCCCATCCAGGATGTATCCTGCCTCATGCCCATTGCTCCGGTTCCCCCTTGACCTTGAATAGGATGAAGCAGTTAGAACATGGATGAATGCAAGTAACTTAAACCACATACATAAGAGCTGACCTACTGTCATTTTTTGGCCAGTTCAAGAAAGGGCTTTCATAACTGCCTATTTAACCTGACAGAGCGGTGGCTCTGTGGCTCAGGAACTGCGCCTGTGGCTGGAAGGTTGCCGGTTTGAATCCCGAGGCCGACAGAGGAATCCTACTCTGTTGGGCCCCTGAGCAAGGCCCTTAACCCCAACTGCTCCAGTGGTGCTGTATAAATGGCTGACCCTGCGCTCTGACCCTAAGCTTCTCTCCCTGTCTGTGCGTCTCATGGAGAGCAGGCTGGGGTATGCGAAAAGACAAATTCCTAATGCAAGAAATTGTATATGGCCAATAAAGTGAGCTTACCTTAACTTGTAATTAAAAACCTTCCAGTAAATAACCTTGATTCAGACTTTGGCTTCCTCTGGGTTTTTTCTCTACTGTAAATGGGGAACTGTGGGGACTCAATTCTATCGTCTGTGTTTGCTTGGCTGACCTACGGTAAGAGTGTTGTGGCTTGAACTCGGTATTAGTGAGCAGAGCAAGAATTCATGTGCTCACCAGGAAAATGTGCAGTACACAGGAAAAAAACAAAGAGCTCAGCAAAGTAACAGTAGCAGCAGGGAAACATGTCTGGAACTGGATTTGCATGAAACTTGTGATTTAAGTCACAATGAGCTATCCTGAATGACAGAGCTCTGACTGGCGGAATGTGTCAGAGCCTGTGACTGCTCACTCAACAGAACAGAGTGTGCAGTATGAACTTCCTTTCACTGATTTACCTGTTTCTGTTGGCTAATGTACACTTAACGCTTACCACAGTTGCTGCTGTCAAGGTGCATTCAGCTACTTTACTACAAATCTTTGCATTTTTCTCAACTGCACATTCAGAAGCAAAACTACCAAGCAGGAGGGCAAAGAGAGAAGAAAAAAAAAGAATCAACCAGCAACAAATGTGATGGAAAAACAAAGCAGCCCCAAAAAAAACAAGTTTTATTAAATATATGCAATATTAGTTCATAATATATACACCATGTTATTCCTTGAAAACAATAGAAGGATTCACATACCTATGAACAACTCTTTATTGTGGAGATGTAGGACAGTTCCAAAAAGGGCTGGGACTGTTAATATTCATTCATGTCAGCATGTATCTGTTGCCCAAGGATCGGTACTATATCTGTACAACACACTATTCTTATGTACACTCCTGTATAACATCTTAGTCTTATTTACATTTATAAATAAATTAGTGAAGGTGTGTGACCTGAGAAACAAAGTTTCACTGTTGTTCACTAAGCAAATCAAAGCTGAATTCATTGCATCTTATACAGGGGCAGAGTATCCCTCCAAATGTTTGACAGGAAAACAATTACACAGGCTTTTGGAATGTGCTTTTCTGGGTTAACACTGCCCCCACTCACCCTTCAAGAAAGCAATCAGACCTTTTTCAAATTTGGCATCCCTAATCTAAATCACTGAAATAACCTGAGGACCAATGCATACAAATATCATCTCCCCAGACAGTTTTAATTCATTCTGGTAGACCCCATTCGTGTATCCAAAAAACTGCTTTCCACACCCATTAACAAAGAAATGTCATTTTGTACCAAGAGAAATGAGAAGCATATTTTGCTAACTATAAAAAGCAGGTCACGTGAGAGATTTGACTGAAATTTTCGGAACTAAATGAGTATATTCTGTATTAATATGAATGAAATATCACAGGGCCATTTCCCTATAGGGTAGGTTACCAATGGAACTCCACCCAAAGTGATAACATTTTTCTAGGAGTCTAGCTTCTTTTTCCTTTAAGGAACACACAAATCTTTTTGTATTCCTGAAGAGTGTCTCACAGTCACTCAGCAACAATCACTGAAACGTATCCAGAAAAGGGTTTTTAAGAATGTACAAAATTAGCCACCTTAGATTATAGTGCAGAAACAGTTATGTCATAACATGGTTAGACTATGGTTAGCTCAAATGGTCTCACAATAAGTGATGACAGTCGTTTTTGTACAGGGATAATCCACAGTGTAATGCAGAGTACCAGTCTCCCTGGAAACACCCTGTATCTGAACTCATTCTATAAAGCACTGAAGAGAAACCATCATGAACTAACCAGCATTCATCATACAGTTAGTCATACAGCTGTTTTTGCATTTTACACTAAAGCAGTGTGCAAGATTAATATAATACCTAACTCAGACAGAATATCACACTATATTCTGACTATGTTTTGTCCATCTCGTTACCCTTACCATATTCATAAGAAATATTAGAACATATCTCAGCCAAAATCCTTCTCCTACTGTGACTAGAACATCTCATTTTCTACCAGCAGGGCCAAAACATGTCATAGAGTAACCATCAGCCCCTTTGCTGAGAGACTGAAGACTGGAAGGGCTCACAAATCTACAGTTTAAGACAATTTCCAATGTGCGCTGTAAGAACAATTTACTGAAATGACCACCTACATTTACAGTATATCAAACACTTCTAAAATTAAAACAAAGCACTAAGACTTGCAGTGGATTACCTGCTGCTTTCTAGATTGAAAAGGTTTACAAGCTTAAGATTCTCATTTAGAATGTTTCTGAGAGACCCCAAGCAAATTTGCATCAAGAGTGGAGCTAATCGACATTTGGAATATAAGTAACGCAGCATACACAAAGTGACAGTTACACATTAAGAACACAAACATTTTTAAGATGTGGAAAATGCAAAAGCAAAAGTTTCTTGGCCTCTCTGCTCCTACTGTTTTACTTCACAGCTAGCTGTATTGCAGTCTGCAAACTGAGATTCGGAAGTGGGACGTATCACTGATACAGCAATCTGAAAATCCAGTCTTTCATAGCCAAATTCCTCAAATGTTTCAGGAAAAATGAAGAAAAAATTAGCTTTGTTCAACTTAACACCGAAGAACACCATTATGGGAACTTTAGTTTAAAAAATAAAAATAAAAATACTTGAATGGGTTGCATATTTGCAAAGAAGGTGGAAAAACATCACAGACTGAAATAATGGCTTTGAACATTCTTATGTATGGTTTCTGGCATGAACAGTGCTTCCTTTGAAATGTACAATAGTTTCATATAGAAAACTAGTTGCATCAGCTTTTCAATAACTTTAGCAAGGTTTCCAACTGAACTATTTTAGACTTTATTTCTAAAATAATAAGTATTTAGCCTTCGGCCTTCACATTATAATGGTTCACATAAATTCCATTATGATCGGCTTAGGAAAAAAAATATGATATTTTTTTCCCCCCTTATGAAGAGCAGCACTGAATCTCCTAGCTATTTCATAAAGATTTTATTAAAACCATAGTGTGGGGGTTTTCTTGAATGGAACAGAAAATAGACATAGGAAAATTAGGCGGACCATTGTCTGCAATAAACACTTCATATTACAGTCAAATTAAAACAAAGAAAGGTGTTTGGAATTTATACATAGTCTCATTAAATCTGTACAGGGTACAGCTCAGAAGTATGGAAACACTGTGTATTGAGAGGATAAGGGAAATAGCTGTTTTTCATTCTTCTTCACCATTATTCCTGCATTCTCTATCATCGTGAATTCCTGACCTTTCTCCTCTTTTACAAATAATCGCAGACATTTGAGGTCCTGCTCTGTCGTCCTCTCAGCAGCAAAACTGAACAGCAGCTGTTTAAACTCGAAAAAAGACTGCCCTTTAAAACCTTCACAATAATTATTAATTACTATCAAGGTACAGTAGTTAATGTTGATGTTTTAGGCACATACACCATCCCCAGTTTTAAGGTTTCCTAATAAAAGCAAGACTGAATTCCAGTCACACTTACTGTACACACTGACTCCTGAAGTAGATTATAAAAGAGGAGACATCTCTCTCTTCAGGGATGAAAGGGGTATTTGTAAATCAGTAAAACAAAAATCAGAGGTTGCAAATGCTGTTTATAATTGCTTTGTAAATGAAATATATGAATAAAGTAGAAATAGGGTAACATACAGTAAATGAGATAATAACCAAACTCTACTGTAGATTATTTGAATGTTAGTAACAAAATGCTAATTCTGATCCACAGCCTGTACAGTACCACACACCTAATCTTAACACTAACTCTTAAGCATTTCACTTACCACACTTCTATTCAGCAAACAAGTTTTTGGTTAGTTCCTGAGCAAAGAAGCTGTGCAAAAAGTTTGCTGGGCAGAGCATTGGAAGGTGTGTTGTAACACAGGATACTGTCTTCTCATTTGCACTTTTGGATTTTTCTGAAGGAAAACGCCTCAGAAATCCTTGAACTAGCCAATCGGTAACTCTTTTGACCGAAACAAATGGCTCTTGTGAAGTTTAACTCCATGAAATTAAAAGGTGCACAATAAAATCACCATAAAGAGGCCTGCCATATTAAGACCAGACCCACCTCAGCAAATTCACCTTCATATACAGCTCAATGCATGATTCGCCTCCCGCACACGAGTGCTATTTCACACTCTCTGCCATTGATGCTTCGAAGTTTAGCATCTTTTGCCTGATTTCTAGTGAATTTCAGCACATTGGTTTTAATTTAAATACTTTTTCTTATTCTATAATTTATTGCATTTAATGAATACACATTGCTTGAAGTAAAGGTGCTGGTGTGAATCGTATTGTTTTAAGAATGATAAAAGGAGTACTTCTCAGGGCAGGGGAATTGTCTCAAATTGTCCTTATGAGCCTGTGGAGTAGATAACCCCTAACGCTACTGCACAAGACCTAGGCATATGTCACAATGGTCCTGTTCATGTGTCAGGACAGCTCAAGTTTAATACAGACCAGCTCGTCACTTGTCTTTCCTACCCCGAGACTGTTTCAGAGCAGGTTTCAAGACATTCCAAATCTTTTTGACTGTTAGTGGTTTGTATCATCCATTGCTTGAACCACTGATATTAGTTTTGGCTGTTACTTCTACTATATGGACTGGCCACCATTCCTTAAAGGAGCTCCACGTCTCAGGAGTTTACTGAAGTCTAGCCAACTACTGAAATCTTTTACACATACAGAGGAAAATAAGAAACATGTATGGGATTAAGTCATTCACTGAAATGCGTGATGCATCTTTTGACAGGGTTATTTTTAAATAGGTCATTTATCATGTGTTTTCTAAAAGAAATAAAAAAAAACATACACTTTAGCCTATGTGCACACTACCTCAGTCAAAATGAAACATGCGTTCAATGTAAGCTATGTCTTTTCCACTTCAGATAGCATCTGAAATTAGTCATTTCCTAACAAAACAGCTTGTGCTGCTGGTTTAAACTGTCTCTCTCATGCCAACTTGTAGCCTATTCATTCATCCCATATGACAAACCTGGAGTGGAATTGATATTTCTATGTTATTATCTTTCATATGAACAGTGATGGCCTTGAAGTACATTGTTTCCTTTCTCGTGAGAGTCTCCCACAGAGATTGGAACCTATTTGATAAATAAATGCAAAATCAGGAAATCTTAATTTCTCACGAAGGGTTCTTTTTTTGTTTTTTTGGTTTTGGACGCACAAATTCCGTGGTTTTTGGTTTCTATGTTTTTTTCAACCTAAATCTCAAGGGTCTCTTAATTAACGAGCAATGGTAGGCAACACTAGGAACCTAGTTTGGGGTCAGCATGCATCCTGTTCTTTTAAAAATGTATAACTGAATAAACTGGGTGTGAAATGTCTATTTCCTTACAGTTCTGGCATTGATTTTGTTTTATTACCATATTGCATGCTTCAAAGGTACATTTCCTTCCGAGGACTGTATAGCTAAATCAATCAATCCAGCGTGATTACAAAAGACAACTCTTCCTTTTAGAAATGACTGCACAAACTGTGGAACACTGAATCATGTTTTTTGAAAAAGAGCCACGCAGCCTTATTATTAGGGAAATGCACTGTCAGATAAAATGAAAAAAAAAACTCCACTAATTCCATCCCTGGTCAGCCATACTGGGACACTGAAGGAACAGTCTTTATGTTACCCACTTTGCAAAATGATTTCAAGTCAAAATTTCTGTAATAGCAGAGACTGTGGGAAATATAACATTCGGCAGGGTGTAAAATATAGATGGAGTCAATAAAGAGAAATGTAATAATACTAAAATAAACAAAGTGGATATAAGGGTGAAGAATTTACAACTTTGTAATGCTGGGGAACTGAAGAAGATGTTGTTTACAATACCTTTAACAGATCTGGAACTTTACTTTCTTTTGAAACAGAAATAAAAGGAAAGCCTTATTTAAAAACAAAATAAAAAAGGATAAGATAAGTGTAACTGGTTGCACTTTCCAAACAGTTGACCCCTCAGAATAAACCTCCCTAATTTCTGCTTCAGCTGTACATGCGGCACTTCTTGAAAGGACTGCAAGACTGAATGCATGCTCAAGACTAAGACTTAGTGCCACAATTTCACACTAAACTAAAAACCCATATGAAAATCAACTGCTTGGTTTTCCCGTAATTTGAGATGATAAGGAGAACAAAAAACAACCTGTGACACACAGCAGTAAATGTTATTTTTAAAAGCATAAAACAAGGAAGTTAAGAGTACCAACAACACTGCTGTGCTGTGTAATCAGATGTCGGTCTGTTTAGGGTTCAAACAACAAAATTGCTTATATCTCCTTCCACAGAATTTGCCTTCTGTTTTTATGTCAGAGAGGCTGTCTGCAGACTGGGCTTCAGAGCAAAGGCCATCTTTTTACTGAATTGTTTTCTTCAATATATATTTTATCTCAACTTGGTACTGCATAGAAGAAGGAAGAGCTTCTTAGTATTTGAAAACTGGATAATTAAGATATATCTAATGTTGATGTGTTTCATGTCAAGCTTGAGAGCACGTTGTACTTCAAATAGAGTTTTGGGGTATCTGTACCTGATAATAAGGCTCATAAAAGGGAAAATTCAATAAAGCCAAAATTCACAAATACTTTTTTTGTTGTCTTTGTTGTGCAACACTCAAAAGGAAACAATAATAAGACTTTAGAAGCTGTCGATGACTAAAAAGATGAAATGGTCATAAAACATGTTTATCTTGGAGATGTCTCCAAATTGAGGTTAGTAAAAACATATTTAAAGGCTTTGTGAATTTCCAACAATGACTGCTCTTTACTTCTCAGGAGGAAAAAAAAAAGGAAAACAGACACTTAAGACCCGAATACAGACGGCGCTGAATCTCCTGTCTGGTCATGTGTCCATGGCTCTAACTCTGCCACAGATCGCCAAGTGTCCCAGCCCTTTCCAATACTGCCCTATACAGTGACGCACCCATTACTGTACGTCATGTTATATGTGTATAATTCAGGTGTAGACCAAAAAAAATCATTAACATTCCTAAATTACATGGATCTCTGAAGAGGACACTTTTTTATCACTTGATTTTGTCCGCTGAAAAGTTTATATGAGTCTTATTGCCATTTCCCGTGATGTAAAGTTCATACAGGGTGTTCCCAATTTAAAATCCGATCAACCCCTTTATAAAAAGAAAGAAACGCTGAACTGAAATCGAATAAAGAGGAAGGCAGCTCCCTTTCCTTTCCGGATTTGTGTACTGCTCAGCTGGAGACTAGCTCCGCGGGATGAATCGCTTTCATCAGCTTTCATTGCAAAACATTCAGCTCTTCCCCAGTAGAATATTACCCTTTTCACAAAAAACAAAAATCAGCGCGTGGTCGTCTCAGAATTACAGACTTGACCAGCTTTTTAAAGTGATTATTACTTTTATTTTTTTTTTCTCTGTGAAGTTTGCAAAGGCAAAGTCACCGTTTCAGTGCAGGAAAGCAAATGACACGCGTCTCTGAATTCCAGCTTCATGACGCAGGTCTTAATCTCCCCCTCCTCCACGACGCCTGGGAACCCAAACACCCATAATTCAAAGCTTATTTAGAAAATCTGTGCCTTTTCCCACTTGATGTTTACAGATGGGGGGTGGGGAGGTGGGAACTTGTAAGGTTAGGAGTTTGGGAATCCCAATCACAGCAGCGTCATTTCAAAAACCAAATCACACAGGCTTCCTTCCAGTTATTAGTATCTTTTGATCGCCTTTGTTAAGAACTTGGTTTTAACTGCATGCAGCTCTGATCTTCCCTGCATGTCTTGTTCACCAGTCGTGATAATCCAGCGATGGGAACCTGATTATTTTTTAGTTTGCTGTTTTTCTTTCCCAATAAATTATTCCTCTTTCAGGATGTTGGAGGGGTATCTGTTGTCCCCATGTAGGACTACATGCTCCTAACAAGATAACTTCCAGCTAATCCATCCCATGGCTCCTTGGGAGGTCGTCGGAGCTAGGCCTTGTACATGCCCATGGGAGCGCTCAGGGAGAGCTGCCCATTGGGTGCCACCTCACTGGCCTCATCCTCCAGTAAGCCGGAGACATCCGCGTTAGGGATGCTGTCATGGTAACTACTGAAGCTGATGTTGTCCTCCTTGAGCTCGATGGTCCAGAAGGGGGCGTTGAGCTTGCGGTTCTGGTACTCCCGGTACATGTAGACCCCTCCGACGAAGCCCATGAGGACCACCACCACCACGATGATGACCGCCAGGATGATGATGTTGAACTGGGTCCAGGAGACCTCGGTGGCCGTGGTGGTGTTGTTGAGAGTGGTGGCCAGGGCCTGGGTGGTGGCAGTGGTGAGCAGGGTGGTGGTGTTGGGAGAGGAGGTCATGGTGCTGGTAGGAGGAGCAGGGGTGGTTGTCGGTACTGCTGTGGGAAGGATCCTTACTGCTGAAAGGTAAAACGAGAGAACGTTTACAAAACAGATTTGAATTGGTGAACTATCAAGGCAGCCATAGGACAAAAATTAGAAAACCAGGTTGTTATAATAATCATAAACTTTATTTGACATAGAGTGCCTTTAGAGATGGCTTCTCAAAGTGTTTTACAGAACAACAACAACAATAAAAAAATATGCAAGAGTTGCACAATGAAAATACACAATGAGAGGAGAGAGTAGAGGGTGGTACTGAATACGGTAGGAGCAGAGGGGTAAAGAACAGAACCAGTTCAGTAAAGGCTCTTCTAAAGAAGGTTTTGAGTCCAGAATTGAAAGAGTTTAGGGAAAGTGACTCTCCGATATCCATAATGATAGAGTTCCAGGGCTTTGGGGCTTAACAGCAGTAGGCCCGGACACCCATAGAGTGTAGATGGGCTTGGGGCACAGATAGGAGACCAGAATTAGAAGAGTGAAGGTTCCAAAGTGGGGAGGAGGATGACAGTAGCTCAGACAGGTACTGAGGTGCCAAGCCACGCGGAGCCACTGTTCGGTGGTAGTCAGCTCTAAGTACTGCCAGCGAATTGGCCTAGTAAGAGTGTTTCCGAGTGAAAGGGATTAAAATAACTCAATATACTGTACTGGCAAGGTTAGAGAAGTATTAACAATTTGGATTAGCAAACTACAATAACGCAGCTACAGGATTAGTTCAAGGAAAAGGGACAAAGTTAATGGCTTTAGAGGTACGTGTTGTAATGCCATTTTAAAAGGCAGGTATTAGTCTTGTTGAATGGAGACAATAAAAGGATATAATACTTGAAACCCAAAGGGCATTGTAAAAATCAACCAGGACGATTATTTTGGATCTAGTTTAATTTTACCAGTAGAAATAAAACAGGAGTTACTTCTTTACACAATTGAGGTTGGCTGGAAAAAAGTTCTGGGTGCTACAGTGGCGCAATGGTCAGTATTTCTGCCTCACAGTGCTGGGGCCCTGGGTTCAACTTCTGGGGTGCTACCTGTGTGGAGTTTGATGTTCTCCCCATGCTTGTGTGGCTTTCTAGGTGCTTCAGTTTCCTCCCTTGGTGGACAGAGATACTAGTAGGATAATTGGCTTCTGGGAAACTTGTCCCAAGGTATCAATATGTGTGTCTGTGAGTACCCTGCAGTGGACTAGCGTCCTGTCCAGGGTGTAGCATGCCTTGGGACTTGATGATCTGGCTCCCTGTGATCCTTAATTGGATGAAACGGTTAGGAAATGCATGGATAAAACAAGTCCCTCTGCTATTACTGCTGCTGTACTGCTTCTACAACAGCAGCTACTACTGCTGAAGTAGGATTCCAGGAATCAGTGTTTTGAACCGATTGGCCTTATTTCTTAAATGGACACTTAAGCAGCCTCTGTCTCACCTGATTTGAGTCAGACTTTGAGACTGATATGAAGGTACTTGCTATTCTTTGGAGGTTCATACTGTCTTGGTGTGGTAGGGTTCCTGAGAATTTATTCAGGAAAAATAATGGTTTTACACCTTCAAGAAGTAATTGTAAGAATGACGCAGGTGGAGTGATTCTACAGTAGGGTGGTTAATGTGTAAAAGATAGCAACATTTCTTTTAAGATGGAATCTTATCTACCTCAATGATTTTTTGTTTCTTTTTCCTTTTTTTCTTCTTGGGTTCACTTTAAAATCGAGGGAATTTTGCAAGTCCAAATGTTTCACTAGAAATTCTCGATATTTACAGAAAGCCTCAAGCTTTGACGTAAAAACAAGTCCATGCCGAAGTAATGATACTAACGATACCATTCATTTCAAAGAACTTAACCTGTTTTTTTCTAGAACGGTTAGTTGGCATAACAGCCCGAACATCAGAGAGTTTTGTTTAACACATGCAACAGGATGTGCATAAATTAAAAAAAACAATTGCTTAAAAGGAAAATGCAGATTGTGCAGAACAGAAGTAGTGGGAACGTTCTGTTTTTCCTCATCAACACCTGATTCTCTCAGGGAGCGGATGAAGTCGTGAGAATGGGAAGATATCTGAGTGCTCCTGTCAGTTCAACAGCTTTACTCATTATGAGAGATATTCACATGTACCTTTTCCTGACGTGTAACATCACAGCATTTGCTCTATCTCAAAGCACTTTGTATTTCAGTTCAGACGGTTGACCACTGACGGTTGATACTGGCACATTTTGCTTGTAAAACGTTAACATTTTGGTGTTCGGGTGGTGGGTGATGTCCTCTCATTCACCATGTGTCCCTTAACAAGTTTCTAAGATTAAGGCCTTGTATTTTCTCCAGCACAAAACATCACCTAGAATGTGTAAATAACTCTTGAAACATTTATTTTACCAGTTCAGCAATGCTATTGGGCTGAACTCCAAACAAAAGTGTAACATACTTACTGTACAACTTGGTGTAACAGAATAATAGAATCAGAATGAAACTCAGAAGATCTGGGTGACTCCAGATTAATTATTTAATGCTGTTTATGTTTATTTTTTGTAAGAAAGTAAAATACTATAACTTTACGTCCAGTATGTCAAATCTATTCCACAAGGTTATCTGCATAAATACATTACAGTATATCTCCATCATCAGGTTTTATTCCAGCCATTCTAAAAAGTCTTTCTTAATCAGGTTTTTTCTAAATATTTCTGGCTCGGCATGTGAGCTTTTATTGTGTTTCATTTCGTGCCTAGATCTTTTAGGGCATAAGCTTATCAAGAACAAACAGTTTTGCAAAATCACTTGTACCGCCTTTGAATACCAGGGAGCCCGTGCTGCTGGCATTAAGGAAAGCTATCAGAGCTATAAGAGTGAGATCTTCATGGTGTGTGCTGGAGCTGCACCCGACTGGAGGGGTGATCAGTGTGCTTGCATTGAAAATGGTTTTAAATTGCTGCATTAACTACATTATTCTGTGCTTTTTATTTTGTGGCATCGTAAAAATGTCGGTCGATTCTGGAAAAATAAACCATGCTCTCAATTTAAACCTGAGCGAGTCCCGAGCATTGCAAATCAGGAATTTCCACCTCGTACAGGAGCTGTCTCGCTCAATCCGGGAGTCAGATGAGTGTGGTTTCCCGGATTTTTTAAAGAAATATATTGTTTCTACAAAGAAAAGCACTAAGGGATTGCAGCTCCTCCACTCAATCTCCACTATAATGTCTCAGTCGATTAAGTTCGACCAGCTTCAGGGTGGGCACAGAAGGGGTAGCTGTTCTGGTGAGGAGGTTAGAAACTGATGTTCTTTCTGTTCTAACTTAGTGTTCTTGTGATATCTAATATGTCAACCTTGATTACAATTACCTCCATTTTTTGTGAGGTGTCACCAGTGTTGTGAGGAAGCAATGCAAACCACTGCACCAAAATGCTACCCTGAAATACACCTGAAATACAGTATTTCAATGTCAATTTTTCATGGGATTTTCTGTGCTACCTGATCACAATCAGGTAATTGGATTGCAGGCCTGAACTGAAGCATTATGATGATGTGCAAGTGGTTCTCACGGATTCCCATCCTACTGACAGAACTGAAGCTACTGTGCCTCTTTTTTAAAAGGAACATTAAATATAACGACTGATTCGTCTGTATCGTGAAGCATCTTCAGATGCTGTGATTCTTGGCAGTATCTCATGTTTGCTAAAGTTCGGTTCCCTGCTTTCTCGGGTCTCATCATTTTTAATAAGGAAATGTTAAGGTGCCACACTGGGAAGTCTTTATCTTGAGGTACCACAACACCACAGAACATTGTGGAGGTAGGCATATTACATTCTGACATGACTAAGTCAATGTGGTTAGTGAAAAAAAAAACATTCAGTTGTCACCTGACTGTGGTTTCCCAGAGGGATGCCTCACAAATACCTCTATCATCCAGTACATAGTGCTGGCTAACTTTTACACTAGTGAAACAAGGAGAAAAGGAATCATGTTATAAATGGCTTTATACTCGTACTGTCCTGTTCGTGCCAGAACGTGGAGTGTCAGTACTGCAGGTTATGCAAGGAAGCCTGGACAGGTTCAACGTTTACTCACTGGTGATTCATATCCAGCTAACGTTGCTCTGTATGACCTGAATCTGCCAGCTGGCTCCTGCCCAGATGCAGCCTCCATAAAGAGTTTAACATAACAGCACTGCCCCGGACATCTCGATGTACTATATCTATTATTTGTCAGCATCCTGCACAGCAACATAATTTCTCAACTTTCTGTCTGCTTAAAAGAAAGTTACAATGTGAGCACACTCATTTTGAAAGACATTAAAGTAACCTTAAGTGCAAAACTGATAAAGCTGCGGTCTTAGCTAAGTCTTAGCACGACGGTGGTCATCAGCACAATGCTCATCAACACGTGTTCTTGTTAAACTGCAGCATTTTCTAGCAAACAACAGACTTTGGATGGTACACAGACAGAATACATGCAAAATGTTGGTTTCTGTCCCTGACTGCTGCCTCTTTCTGATTCAGCACAGCTGTAACTGTGTCTGTTCAGGAGTTTCAAAATGAATTGCATGGAAATATTTTAGGTGAAAACTGGGTTTCTTTCATGAACTGAAAAAAGAAACTTCACCCCACGCAAGTTTCAACTGTAAAAATAACGGAGCCCTGCAATCTCTTTCTCATGGTTAGCATAACGGAAGTATATTTCTGTAAAGCAGGACAGACGGGCATTTAAAAAAAACAAATCCCCGATAAAGAGGTACTATTTGGGATTCATGACATAACTCAGGGGGGGCAATTAGTGATCTTGCTCTCTTAGTTCTTGGGTCCTTGATTTGATCCTGGACTAGGGTAACTTCTGTGTGGAACTTGCATGTTCTCTTCATGTTTACATGGATTGTCTCCATGTCCCGAAGCACAGTAGGCTTGAGCACATGCTGAAGGCCTGACTGCTCCTTTAATCGAGTTAAAGCCAAGAGGAAAGAAACAAGGGCTTTTCTTGGGCATCCTTCCATTAGACAATCTAATCTAATCAGCACTTTCCCTTCTTTTCAAAAGTGACTCTGGGAACTCTCTGTAATACTGTGTGGAGTGGAGACACAAATTGGTACTTGGGCACCGCAGATATGAAAGGAGGTCTCCCTAAAGAAATGAAAGAGCCATCAAAAATCCACAACTCCCAAAAAGCCACAGGTACCTGATCCAATATTCTGTCGGTATGTCAAACAGGAAAAGGAAAGACACTGTAGTCTGTTGCTCTACCATAGTAAGATCATTTCAAATACAGCTGACTAACTGAAGACAGAAGGACAGACTGAAGAGACCGAGGGTTACAGAAAAAAATAACAGATGGACAAGATATTTTGTTATCTTGAGTGCATGTTCTATTTTATAAGAAGCAGAACAGCTGTCCAGCTGGGGAACTGAAGACAATGAGCCAAGAATTTAACTTGTTTAGATGTTCTGTATTCTGAGGGAAAACCACTGTTTTGAGCTCAAGCCTGAACAAACACAATTTGTTAAAATCACTTAGACCTTGCCTATTTCAACATCCCTGATATACCTTTCCCCAGCATATCCCATATTTCCCAGTAGGATGCACGTGACTTCCCAACAGGAGCATCAGGGATAAAACTGTGAAACTGTTTAATAGTGGACGTTATTAGTTTCAGTTCTTTATGGAAAAATCTTTGGGTGAAGCTCATGCAACACCTACTCTCCCGTGCTGGGGACAGATACAGTACGAGGCCCAAGTGGATAACTGCCTGCTCCTCAAACCTGATACATGTGTTGGAAACCGGGGGCAGGACTGCTCGTTGATTGTTTGCTAATGTCCTGTGTTATACTTCAATAATTCTCCATCTGTCAGCATCTCCCTCCCCTGCAACTCAGAGAGAGCTCATCTGGGACCATTGCAAACCTAACCCTAATGCCACAGGGCATATGCCTTCCTATCTACCACAAGTCATCATGATCAATCATCACAGAATTACTCAACCCTAGAGAGAAGGCAAAACGCGTCTTTCAACCCCCAATCAAGTGACAGCACTACCATTCACACCAGCTCTTTAGTTCCAGTTCACAATACACCTGGGGCCTGATTTTCAGCGGGTCACAAATCTACTAAAGAGTAAAAAACCCCTTTGAACACAATCACTAAGATTAGCTGTGTTCAAGGTAAAAAACTAAAATTTAATTTGTTTTAAAAATTGATGATTTCTACACATGAATTCTGACTCTGCGCTTTGACTCTGTTTTCTTTTCCCAGTGAACATGATTAGTTGGCCAATCTTCGATTGAACATCTCTGTGGTGTCATGGGTTCTGTTCTCCCCTGGGACAGCCTTTAGTCTGCAGCCGTGAGAAAAACCTCAGAGCAGAATGATAATTAGTCTATCTAGGGAAAAAAAGTGTACAAAAAAAATTAAATGCCCAAAACAACATATTTTCATTTTAAATGCAAATACTAGACAATGCCTTTGTCATAATAAAATACTTTAAAAAAACCCGTGAGGTGTAATGTCTGACGTGCCAGATGTTACAGGACTGTTTTAATTAATGCCTCATTCTGACCCAGGAACAATGTCTGTTTCAACAGGTAAAGAACTGGAAGGAGTCGCTTGTGAAAACCCAGCAGTCACAGCAGCTGTGGAAGATAGGGAAAACCTCCCTGTAAATCACTCCTGGGCTGTTCAAGTGCTGGAGGGCCACGAGATCTCCTGACTTATATTCCACACGTGCTCCCATTTACTTTACTGAAGTCATTGTTTATTTTTTAACATATTAAATATCCTGGTGGGTTTAAAAAAGGGGCTGATACAGAGAGTATTACAAAAGGGGTGCCTGATACTGTTGTTTACCTGGGGTGTGTTTCATCCAGGGCCTTAAACTGAGGGAGTGTTGTACATGTTCACCGCACTAAAAAGTTGATTTACCATTTAAATGAGCACGATTTCACTGGAAATGAATTGGACACAAATTACAATTGACAAAAAAGACAAAGGTGGCAGCATTGAACTCCACACTACAGTTAGGAATAGTGTCCTTTAATGTTTTCACATTAAATCTAGAACAGTCTGTAAAACTGGACGGTGTCATTTTGGGATTGCTTCAGATTGGCAACAACAAACTAAAAATAATCCCACAGACAACTAAAAATAGCTAGCGCTGACATGGAATGGCTACAACAGAAGGTTTTTCAACGGCTCTGAAAACCTCCATGCTGAACGTTCCTATTCTTTAGGAAAAAATGTAACACAAACATCTCCTTAATGTTAAATTTCATTGCAGCAAAACCCAGCATGATCTAAAACACACAGCGGATTTGTCTACAAATTTTGAAAGTTCGCACTTCAAACAGACAAACCCACTCACAAATGAAAGTTCCTCAGGGTGGGCAGGAACAGACGTGGGGGTTGGCGTCATGTGATCTATATTAGATTCACAACAAGACTGTGAGCACTTTCCATTTCAAACAATTAATTATTAGCACACAGGTTTTGTTCCGTTGTTATCTTTAAACGTGAGATTACGATAACATTCAAGGGGGAAAAATAAGGAGAGATATTTATGTACAGCGGCTCTCGATAGGACTGTATTCACTCCCCTTGGACTTGTCACATTTTACCGTGTTACCATATAGATCACAATGTATTTGTATGGGACTTTTTACCACTGACAAAATTCTACAGATCCTCCTAAATTATGGATATAAAGCAGATAATAAGTGATTGCATTCACCTGCTTTACTTTGACACACCTAAACAAGTTCTGGTACAACCAAATGTCTGACCATCTGTCCTTTAAAGTCACAGACCAGTTCAAAGGTATTTAGTTCAAAGAGTTATAATACTGTATTCAATCTCATCAGTCACTTCCATTTCATTTAATCAAATTCGCTGTTATATTATATCATAAAAGTATCAGATAACATACAATATTCTCAATTATGGCTCAAAGTCACTTTCAAAGGCTGAGAAGAGCAGAGCTGAACAGATGTATATGATGATGATGGTGTAATTGGGGTATGGTAGGGGTTTGAGGGTAAATGGCTGACCCTGCAATCTGACCCCAAGCTCCTCTCCCTGTCCGTCTCTCTCATGGAGAGCAAGTTGGGGGATGCGAAAAAAGACAAATTCCTAATACAAGTACTGTAATTGTATATGGCAAGTAAAGTGATCTTATCAGAGCCTGCTTCACACATTAGACTGAGCTGCCAGATATGGGGGAGTTTGAGTCTGCTCCGCTTTTGAGCTTGGCGTTTTGTCCCAGTTTTATCATCTGTAGATCAAAACTCACTTCATATCAGGACTCTCTTGGTAATAAGAAGACATATTAGCCCCTTTTTCAGGCTTTCAATCCCAACATTCATGAGAAAACATGGCGCCGTCCCATCCCTTCAGTCCGGGCACTGCTACGGTGTGGAAGTCTTACCCGTCTTGGTGCAGTTGCCAGCCCGGCCGTCCCCCGAATAGCCCTCTGCACACTTCTCACAGTGCCGGCCGGCTGTGTTGTTGGCGCAGTTCAGGCACTGACCCGTGTCGGGGTCGCAGACGCGAGGGGACGATCGGGGGTCCACATTCCCGCTGCACTCGCAGCGCGCGCAGATGCTGTCGGAGTTGTAGTAGCCATCGCGGCACTTATCGCAGTTCGGACCCTGGTACTCTGGCCTGCACTGGTCGCAGACGGGCTGGCCACTGGAATCTGGAATGACACCCACACATGGCAGGGCGAGGTCACTAACTCTGTCTCTGCCAGAGCATCACTGGCCCGCCAGATCAACACTCACCAATTGTCGGTTTTAGTGTCATTTCTAAACAAAAACATACATTTCCTGCTAAAGATTAGTTTAAAGATTTCCATAAATGAGCTACAGAAATTGTCTGGATGACCCCTCTGCATACAGTACATCAGAATAATGCAGCACTAGAACTACGTATCGTATTTGCAAATACAGGGTACTGAAAGATATTAAAAATAATAATTATTTTATATATAAAAACACAAATTTCACTTTCAGTGGCCTAAAAGTAATTTGTGGAGTTAACCTGTTTAATCTCTGTTGTTTATGGCAGTTAAAGCAGAATATGAAGGAGATTTACAGTTTTTTTGTGCTTCTGTATAGGTTACATACTTATGTATAGGTTACATATTGGTCTCAGAAAGCAAAACTGCAATGCACTAAACAATTTGCATTGAGGGCTGATGTTATAGCGCTGTTAAAACTAAAGGGTTTTCGTTTAATAAAACCTGTTTTTGGTGTAAGGGCATAAATCACTTTCCATTGCTAAAGGAATGTTTAGAATCCACTATGATACACATCCAGGTTTCATCAGCAATAGCCTCTGCATGGGAAAGTGCTGGCTCGATCTGGATAACTAGCATAGAACTGCAGCTGGGGATCCACCTCCTGGACCCATCCAGTCTTGCTGTTGCTGTTAAAGACTTTTGTGCTCATAATTGCAGTTTCCAGACGCAGTGTGTGATGGAGCACCTTGTGCACCAAGTGATCGAATGATCAAACTTGCTGGAGTCCATTTCTGGTTCAAATCCTGGTTTGTCTTTTGCAGGTGGTGTTATGTATAGGATTATGTGGAGACATGTTGTGTGGTTCTGGCTGGCCGTTACCAGTTTAGCTGTTCAGCTGACACGGTGATGTTCTCAGAAAGCTAGTCAAATTAAATATGCACTATGCGATATGCTGATCAAGTATCCCTATACTATGTACAGTATGATCTGTTGCATTCTGTGGTTAAATATACAGCATGTTCTCTCTTTTGTCTTGACATTTATGGGAAGACAAGAAGTGGTTCAGACTTTACTTGGTTTAAAATAAGGTTCTGGAAAGTGGTTGGATTTAGTTTGTGATTCTCTAGGAGGGCCTGCCCCTTAAATCAAATCATTTCAAAACCTCACTGAACTCTTCTGCGATGTCTCACATCCCTGCAGTTCTATAGTTAGGTTTCTTTCTTTTCAGGGGGCTTTGGGATAGTCTTAATTGGAGCCCCTGTATAAATCCATATTCTGTATTATTCTAGAAAACAGTGCTGAAATTGGCAGGTCATTGTTCCTAAAGTAACGTTAATATTTGATTAATTTGCTTAGCAGACACTTTTATCCAGGTTTGAGGCTATGCCCAGTCTGTAGAGGCCTGCTGTCCTGTCACATCCTGAGGGCACATGGGGAAAACAAGAGCAATCCAAACAGTGTCAGAGTTATATTACAGTTAGGAGATAGGATATACAGTGTGTTTCTTTCTGTTGCTTGGGAACACCTTTTATTTTCTTGAGCTGACATATCAATCTGGAGACCTCAAGAGCAGGAATATCGTCTTGTGCTGCTGTCTGTCTCTGTCCTGCAACCTTGAGATATGTGAATGACAATCATTAAACTGGGAGAAGAGTGTGCTACTTCAACAACAAAAAATAAAGAAAAAAATGAAGAAGAAACAGGTCTGGTAAATATATTTCTTTACTGAGACTGCATCACTGTTATTAAACTATCAGCAGTGCTACAGAGGTTCTTTTATAATAACAGGTAGAAAGCACAAACAAATATCATGATGTAAGTGGTATTATAAAATTTCCCACCAGGCTATGATTAATTTCTCTTCTTTCTGCTTCCCAGCCTGTTATGTTTTTTTGACTTGATTAGGAGCTGGCAGAAATATTCCAGCAATATCAGCGTTTTCTTCCTTTACCAAATTGTTTGGCTTCAAAAATACGTTTCCAAACGCTGTGATATAATGAAATGATTAAGATGACTTCATAGAAACACATGCAAATCATTTATGCTCTCAAGTAAATTGTAGAAATGTATATATTTTCACTGCTTACAGTAACTCTTTACTTGGCCTTCCTGCATCGTAGTTATACTTGGAGTTTCACTTACAATAAATTATGAAGAAAACAAATTATTTTCTCAGACAGAGTGAAGTAAAATACGTACAGCGGGACTACAAAACTTTGTCAGAATTGTAGCAGTATTAAAGTCGCTTCTGGTTCTTCTGAAACCAAATGTCTAAATCAAAAGTCACACTGCCACATGAACAAAACAATTTCACATCACCTGTTCGTGAGGGCGGAAACCACCTACAGATGTCCTCAGCCAACAGCAGATTTTGATTTTTTGATTGGCCAGTCACCTTTACTTTCATATATACAATTTGGCCTTTCTGTGCCAATCGTCTCCCTCACCGTAGGCATCTGTGAAGGATATGAGGCCACAGTTTCGTTCTTTAATACACCTTTCTTGAATAGCACATTCAAGACTACGTGCAGAGGGTATGGTGGCAGTGTGGTTACTGTATATGAGAGACCAAGGCAGGACAAGAGTGGTTGAGGCAACAGCAGCAGAGAACAGGGACACTGATTTGGGTATGCGTGTCGATACGAAGCCAGGTGGTTAATAGAGTGACACGCAAGAGGATGAGAAAAATGAGGTAGAAAAAAGATTATGCAAGCAGCATAACTGACTTTAATTGGGTGCACACCATTGGTAGGAGGCTGAGCAAAAGGGAGTTAAGTTTGCAATAAGCATGATAGTACCAGAGTCTGTACTAGCACAGTAGGTGCATGATGGATTGTGAATGTTTCTCAAGAAAATGATTTGGAATGCTGCTGTAGGAATGTTTTTTAAACAGTCCGTATTCATCAGCTATCAAATCCAGATTATTTTATTGAAAATGGTAAAGATTTCATAGCTTCATCCAGTAGCTTGCATTGTCCTCATCTCACCTACTGTAGCTGGCTGACGGCTGCAATGAGGATTCACGGCCACTAAGTGGCGCCGTGACTCCACTAAACGGGCCAAGCCAGTCCACGAGATCAATTTAAAAGGTTTCTGGAAAGACGGCAAAGCAAGTTTATTAGTAAGGAGAACAAATGAAAAACATAACAGGCTTTTTCGAAGAGATAACCACCGCTTTCTCAGCTACTAAACACAGCACACACCAGATCAACTGAAACTAGGAGACGCCACATCTGAAATAGTGTTTTATTCTACACATTAGGTTAGCTAGCTAATAGAGTTTGCCCCAACACAGCACAGTTACTGGCATAGGAAACCTCTAAGAATATACAGGTTGCTGCCCTTGGTGGTGTCTGTGAGACAGTACGTGGTGCTGTCCCTCATTGACCACAATTTCCACACCAGCATTCCAGCATGGCGACAGGGAAACACTGTGCTACAGGTCGTGCAACCCAATGGATAAGACATGAAAGCAATGTCCTGAGCACAGTACGTGATCATTAAAGATCCCACTGCAGTGATTCTAAGAGAAGTGTTAACCCCAATGTCCAGGGTACATTTCTGCTTCAAGCATGCTCAACCTGGACCCTTTAAATGTACTTTTTCGTACAATTGCTGAATTGGACCAGTTTTATCAGGGCTGCTGGTATATAATGCCTGTGACGTAGGTGCATGCTACAGTTCAGATGATGAAAAACATAAACACTCAGTTATAGTACTAGGTAGATCTCAGCCAAAAAGAAAACATTTCACACTTAAGCAGAAAAATAGTGTATTCATGTATAGCATACAACTCTGAGTGGCTGAAATGGTGTGTTGAATACTGTACCTCTTGTATTCTGACGGACTGTTATAGGTTTTTAAAGAATCCAGTCAAACTCCCAGGGGATGATAAGCAATGGACAGCACATGAAACGAATGCGAAACCTACTGTACTTTTGGATACTTTTAGGTAATACAAGCTAAGACTGTTGTCTTAGCAGGACAGCTACATGTATATGGTATATTTCGACACATACACAAACTGTATGGATTATAATACACTGGTGGACTGGGTGTATTTGTAGGCATTGTCAATAGGAGATTTTGTGAGAAAACAGCACTTTTGTTACATAAACACACACATTTTTCTCCTTCAACTTTTTATGTGTGTCCAGTTTTCATTTTACATCAAAATGATTTCAAAGTCATTCCAAGACAAAAAAAAATGTAAGTTAAAGTTCTGATCTCCATAGACCAATTTCCTTATGCTTAGTGTTAGTAATTTAGTGATGCTCTCTGACACTGACCCTCTGGGTGTTACAATACACAGTATAGATAATACACAGCATACACAGTATGTAATATATAAAAGAAAAGGGAATAATTAGCTACTCTTTGTGGAAGGGTAAAAACTGTTAAAAAGAAATAGACATTCCTTTAACAAAAACGCTCATATAAAGATCAATGGCAGTATCCTCAGGTTATCCTCAGCAAGCATTACTCACGGCAACAAGTCTCATCAGCCACAGAAGTAAATCGATCACGGCAGTTATTGCTGTGGTCCCTTTGTGGAACAGACATGAATTATCCTTTATTTGACACATCACAGTTCAGCCCCTTTACATTGCACTGAACTCATTTGAGGTGCTTTATATGGGTGTCAATATCAAAGCCAAACCTTTGAAAGTAAAATTGTACGGCAGAGACATACAACTCACAGTAAAGATAGCTCCTGATCTCAAGCCACACTCTCTAGAAAGTGAAT